CATCTAAAAAAAAGACAACATTAATTTCTTGATGACCTAATAAAAATATGCACATTTTTGATATACAGAAGTATGTGTATAGATAGGTTTTTACATTAAAGGAGATACTGGTATGAAGAGGTGCATTTATTGATGTAGTTATTTGTAATATTTAGGAGTACAAGTATAACAATGAGTTTATTTTGGTACAAAGAAAAATGTGAATGTAGGTAGAATCTTAAATGACTACATGGGATTGTTATTATTTCTTATATAAAGAAATATGTATGGATATTATTAGTCTTTGTATATGAATGTATGTAAAGTATGGTATGAAGAAGTATATACGATTGTAGGTGTTTTTAATATTAATTGATATGTAACTTTAGATGTATTGTAGGCATATATTTGATATAAAGAAGTACACATGGATTTAATTATTTTGAATATCTTGGAGTGCATGAGGGAATGAAATTAACTATTAATATGTCACTTGATACATCTTATTTCAATAATGTTTTGACAGAAAGTAGCAAATGTAACTGTAATATTCTTGTATGAAGAGTTGTGTGTGCATCGTCTTATTTTTTAAAATACTAGATGCACATATGTATGCATAATTATTTATTGATGTGAAGAAACACATATGAAATCATGTTCTCTAATAATAGGACTAGTCTACAGTATGGGATCAACTGCTTAAAACGATTGAATTATGATAGAGAAGCATTAGAAGAAAGAAGACGAAGCAGTGACCATGATATAAAAGGAATGTCAGGTGAGTTATTGAAACTTCTTCAAGTAAATTAGTTTAAAGAGAAAGATAATCTCCAGATATGTTATCTTTCTGTGATAACTTGTATTCCCTTTTTTAAAGGAGAGTTATTTCCTGGCTGTACAAAAACATGTAACGTTTTTATACTGCCAATTAATTAAATATGACGCAAGTAGTCCATATAGTAATATCTGTCTATTTCAACCTATAGACCTGATATTCATGATAAAAAAAATTGCATATTGCTTCAAAAGTTTCTTTTTTTTACATTCCACTTAATTAGGTCATCATAGATTTCAAGTCAGAAGCATGCATAAATGGCTTCAGTTGTTTCATAGGCTTTCTGCATTTAATGCCACAATGTATCTGTCAATTTGTCTACTTGATAACATGTTTGGGTAAAATATCATATATAAATGGCAAACCACTATGATTTTTTATCTTTTGCTCTGACATGCTATTGAGTTTTTAAATGACTTTGTTCTTCAAAGAAAACATTTAGTAGTTTGTGTCAAAAGGATTACAAAACCACACTGATATCTTAAGGTTGTTATTCTTTATCAAAAAGTACACATATGGGTAAAAAACTTTTGTGTTAATGCATTATGATCCAGACATAGGAACTAAGGAAATTGGATGCTAAAACTTGTAAAATAATGATGTATAACTTATGTTTTATAGAAGGTTAACTCAATTAATTATCATTTGAAAAACAATCTTGTTGAACACATCTAGTTCTTGTAATATTTTGTTTTTGCAGATGTTCTAGGTTTGGGCTAATGAACGGGTAATAAAATGGATCAACTCCATAAACCTCAAAGAATACTCGAATAATCTTGTAGAATCTGGAGTTCATGGGACACTCATAGCATTAGATGAAAGTTTTGACCACAATGCTCTGGCCTTAGCACTTCAAATTCCTACTCCAAATACTCAAGTATATCACAACTTTGTTTCTTCTTACAAAGTTTGTTTTTAACATTTATATTTAGTGGCTAAAGGTTCTTTTACACCAAAGCTGTATATTTATACCATGCTATTAATACCTTTATTTATCTTACATCTGCATGTTATGAATTAACTAAAAATTCTGTGTGATGATGATGGTGTTTTTAATTTTGTTGTTAAACACTTTTTGGTTAAATTTTTTTTAAAAATGAGGTAATTTTTCTTTGTACTTGTACTATTTATTTGTGTTAAAGTCCTTATCTATTCTTTTAGACAGGCTTTTCAGGAAATATAAAACAATTTCCTGACACTAAGCCACTACTAAGATTATCATACTACAAACTAAATTTGGGTCTCTTGTAAAACTAATTTAGTAAAATTAAAAATGTACATTTATCGTAAGGATAAATAATTTTATTAAGACAAATTTATATTTATGCTAAAATTTGAAAATACAGTTATTAAATTGGTAATATTTTATACATATACGAGAGACAGAAAGAGAACCCTTTTCTTACTAGATAGTGTTTTCATAATTGTCCTCAGAACACCTACATATGATTCTTGGTATAATTGTATTTTGTATTGTCTCCAGGCTAGGCAGGCATTAGAACAAGAGTTTTCAAATTTGCTTATGAAAGGTACAGATAGAAAGCCAGAACAGGTAAGCTGCTACTATAAAGCTATTTTCAAATTTGCTTATAAAAGGTACAGATAGAAAGTCAAAAGAAGTAAATTATTACTACAATGATATTTTTAAATTTCCTTATAAAAGGTAGAGATAGAATTCCAGAAGAGGTAAATTATTAATATTGTTGTAGTCTATATTTTCAGTGTTTTAATTTAGTTCTTTTCTAGAAGGAGCTACTAACATGATGATGACCCCAGTATTGGAAACTTTATAAAACTAGTCCTAGAATGTTCATAAATGTTAATGATTGAGAATCTTTCCAAAATATGAAGAAACAAAGATTCATTATAAATGTGAGAATCAGTGAAGCATTGAGCCAGTTTCACTTATTTAAGTGTTAATGAAGTATTCATAATAGTGTTAGTTATTGTGTATGTTAAGTTACTTTATCTATTATTCTAGAATTAGTACAAGTAAGTTTATTTGTATGTTAGTCACATAGTCAGTAGCAAATTTCTGTTAAAAGTGAAAACATTATTTGTGAACTTAGGCCTACAACTATGTATAAGTGATAATATCTTTTAGTAAACTTTAAGGAACAAATAAACTAATTTGTTATCATTACGTTGACTGGACTATATTTTCCTCAAGAATTCTATAAGAATCTGCTGAATGATAGAAGTGATAGAACATGTTACAACACTATAAACACTCCAATCGGTTTCTGAGGTCTAACACATACTGGTATGTGTTCCTCACTTCTGACTCTTCTTCTCCTGTTAACAGTTCTTTCAATATCTGTATCGGCTCTCATACTGTTCTTCCTGCCACATCTTCTTCAGCATGCTCTTTATGACTCCATTGACTCTTTCACATAAATCATTACATCTGGGGTTGTATGGAGTGACAAAGATCTGCTTAGTTCTGATGAGTCTGCACATCTCTTGCATTAGTTATGAGGTAAACTAGGTCCCTCTGTCACTCGAGACTTCGTTTGGAAAGCCTACTCTGCAGAACACTTCCAGGATGGCTTCTGTTACTCTCTCTGTTTCTGTATTCATAATCAGAAGAGAGAGAAGCTGCTACTATAAAGTTATTTTTAAATTTCCTTATAAAAGGTAGAGATAGAATCCCAGATGAGGTAAAATATTCATGTCGTTGTAGTCTATATTTTCAGTGTTTTAATTTAGTTCTTTGCATAGTCAACTACTCTCATCACATACAAGTTGTCCTTGTTGGATGCAGGTGCTGGTGATCTGATGATTTCCACAGCCACATACCAGTTGTCCTTGTTGGATGCAGGTGCTGGTGATATGATGATTTCCACAGCCACATACCAGTTGTCCTTGTTGGATGCAGGTACTGGTGATATGATGATTTCCACAGCCACATACCAGTTGTCCTTGTTGGATGCAGGTGCTGGTGATCTGATAATTTCCACAGCTACTCTGCTGAATGACTCTTGTATGAGAGGCATCTGACCCAGTAGCACCTTGGCCACCTTTCCTCCAGGTACTGTTCTTTGGCAAATGGCACATGACCTGTAGAATCTGATCACATCTCTGATGACCCCTGGCAAATGGAAGTTGTTGGTTATTCTGTCAGCCATTTTCTTCGTACCTAGGTGTCCTCCCACAATTTAGTCGTGAGCCAACTTCATCACTTGAGTCCTATATTCTGTTTATCTTCCCCAGTAAAACTGCCTTAATAGATCTGGTATAGCACTCCCTTCCAATCATCTGTTCTGTAGGTTTTTTCCCCTTGGTCTTTTGCTCTACTTTCTCTTGGGCACTGTCCCAAAGTTTCTACAGTGAAAGATCTTTCTTCTATGCTCCTTCAGCTCCTGTAGACCTACATTCGGGATATCACCCTTCAAGACTTGTTGAGGTTTGATGACTTGCTTGCTTTTCTTTTTTTAGCTTTTGTGATGATTGCAGATGTCTAATCAGTCTAGTTTCTGTCTGGTTCCTCCAAACTTCTACTGCCTGGTATATTACCAATTGCCAAGTCTTAGATAGATGCCTTTATACACATGGCTTCAAGGTCTCCCATGTAGTATGGAGTGTCCACCTGTATTATTGCTATTTCTCACTGTCCCATCAATCAGTACACTCAGATGTACCTTGCCCATCATCAAATACTAGACTGGTTTTCACTGCTGCACTACTCATGCAATGTCTTGTAGGACTTTCACTGCCTTGTTCCTGACATAGTATTCACCTACTAGCATGTTGTGGTCCATTGGTACCTCTCAGTGTTTGTCACATGCTCCAACCACCACTGGCACTCTTGATCCATTTGTCTATTTGAGTTGGCAATCAATTATGCACTCTTTAATCCTTCTTGTGATGAACCTGACTAGGTGTCTCTATTCTGTTTCTTCTGCCAGCAGCACCCATGGTGACAGTCATTCTTTTCTTGTTTCTTGGCAACACCATCTTTGTGGGTAGCTCCATCTGCTTTATGGTGAGATTTCTGTTGCTACTTGTTGGTGACAGACTTGCACTCATTTGCAAGGTACTCCATTTTATGACAAGCATAGCACCTCTTCTCATTTTTGTCTCTTGACTTGTCACATTTAATGGCATCCTGCTTCTGGTTGCTACCCCTGGTTTCAAACTTAACTGGTTATTCTTGGACATGCCAGTTATGCTCCTTTCATGGACTTCCATATATACTGTTCTGCTAGCTTGATCATCTTGTCCACACCATTCAGTGCTCTCTCCTTAAGGAACAGTGGCATTTCAGTGGAGCACATGATCATGAACTGTTCATGTATTAGTAGATCTGCCAGTCCCTCAATACCATTTTTACATTTGGCCATGTCAGTCCATCTTCTGTAATATCACCATAGACATGCCACAAACTGAAATACAGTTTCTTCAGTTTCAGGTTTGACTTTTTTGAACTTGCGGCAACAGCCTTCTTCAGTAAGTTCATATTATTTCAGCAAGGACACTTTTAACTTGTCATAATCCATGGCATTTTCTGATATCATGCCCACTTACATTTGTAGGCCTTTTCCTGTGAGAAGGGGGCTGAGACAGATTGCCCAGTTGCCTATGTCCCAATTTTGACTTTGAGCCAATCTTTCATACCTCTCCAGGAAAGCATCCATGTTGTCTTTTTGTTCTTTAAATTTGGGCAGTTTAGGTTTGCTGACCCTGACCCCACTGTCATTCCTGGGTCCTCCATCTTTTATATTGGGTGAGCTTGCTGATCTCAATTTGTGCTCTTGTTCTCTCTATTTCCAGTCTCTCCTTTTCTTCTTTCTCTTTTTGGACTTGCATTTCATACTCACATTCTTCTTTCAGTCTTTCTCTTTTTTCCTGTCTTCTCTGCCTATCCTTCTCTCTCTCTCAGCCTTACTGTTGTTTAACAAATACTAGTAGATTGTCATCTTTGAGCCCAAGTCATTTGCCCGTCTATCCACTTTTCAAAGTCAGTTGACATTGTTATATAGTGTGATTGTGACCTATATACTATTTTCTCCACCACTACAGTTGTGTGTATATAGGCCTATTTCCGCTTTAGTTCACGTTTTTTCTGCCGCCGTTTACCACTGGAGATCCTTACTGGCTCACTATGTCAAGTTTTTTAATGCCAGATTCCTTATAGTAGGTGTCTGTGACTTGTTGGTGATAAGTTTCAACTACAAACAAACAGCAACACAGTCTGCTTGTTTTAAAATAATATACTAGAATCAAACATACGTACAAATATTCATTACACTGTTAATTACCACAGTTGTATCCAGAGTTTTAAATAATTCTCTCTTTCATCAAAGTCCACTCAGATAAAACAAAATATTTTCCTCTACTCTGTTATTACAAAACAGTCTGTAATAATTTCACTTTAAAAATCGCCAGTTTTCACTCATAGTCACTAAGTTCATGATCACGCGGTCTATAACTATACTTCAGTAATGATTTTTTATGCATATTTATATCTGGACAGAAGTCTAGAATCTTTCCTGCAATACTAGATATTCTGATACAATAATACTCAATTAAACCAATGAGAAACTCAAAGTTCTAGCAACATGATGCAATAATCACACTGTTGTAAGCAATCACTAACTCATAACAATTGAACTACACAATGTATGGTTTGTTCCAAGTTACATAAAAAAAATTATCATAAAATATTACTTCTAATAAAAATGCTCACATTAAACTGAAATTCAAACAGTTGTGTATATCTAACAGGCACTCACCAGAGTCTTACATAGAATATGTAAGAAGATTAAGAACACCATTGGTGTCATACACCATATGAACACCATAGACAAACGTGTTGGAAAGGGCCATATCTTGTACTTAAAAGAATCATTCACATGGTGTACAGAAGCTAGAAAATAGGCAATCTAAGCTAAAAGTCATCCATAATTATCATCTTTGAAAGTGCATTGGTGAGAGTGTGGTTAACTCCAAAAAAGAATTTCCAATCAGAAAGACAACCTTATAAAGTGTCCTGAGTTTCTGTCGAGACTTCCCAATGTTTTCTTCGAGTTATTCACCGGAATCTGGTATACCAGTGTCAAGTTCTCCCCTTTGGAATCATTCAGCTCTATGTATTCAATAAAGTCACAGAAGCATGTGCTTAACATTCCAGTCTTGGAATTCCTTTTCATTATTGCATGGATGACAGGCTCCTCTTTGCCTCTTTTCTGGAATACTTTTCTCGTCCATGTCACTTCTCCTCCAAGAAACTATTCATTTGGGTTGGCTAGTCAACCCTTCCAATTCCTTACTTTGACCAAGTACCTGGCCGACCTTGGAGTCTTTGTCAATTCTTGACTCATTTACTCATCTTCACTTTTGCCACTCCTATACTCCATGTATGAGAGGTTCTATCTATTTTGGGGATTTTTGTATCTTTTAAAAATCATTTCTCTTTAGGCTGAACTCACATGAAACTCCTTAAATGGACTTTGAGAGACTATTGAAATATCTCCTATTGTACTCTCTTCTCTCTTGTGATACTGCTGTCATCTTATCTTCTCAAATATCTGTCTCATTGGATGAAATGTGCAAACCTATGGTTGGCATTCCACTACTGCTCCCAGGTACAGATATCCATTTCTTCACAGATGCATCTCTGTAAGGGTGGGGCTTGTTTGTGGATGACTCCATGGCCCCAGGGGTTTGATATTATGTGGAGTGTACTTTCTGATATGGGAAATGACCAAGTGGATTGCAACTAAGTAGAGGGAGAAAATAGGAACATGCCTGATGAGTGGCCAAGAGTTCCAGAACATTTCCTCCCTCTACTTGTGGATCACTTAGTTGCAATCCATTTGGTCATTTCCCATATCAGTCCTCAAAGTGGGACTCACTCTTTGCTTCTGCACATTGGACTTTCTATTTTTACCCAGTCACATTTGGTTCGTCTAACCACTGTTCATGTCCCAGGGGCTTTGAACTTAGTCGTGGATTATCTCTCTTGAACAGACAGGATTCTTTCTACAGAGTGGCCACTTCAGTGATTGATGCCTTCGCCACTCCTCTCAATTCCAAACTTCTTCTCTTCTGGTTCTCAGGACTTAACCAAGTGGTTCTGGTAATGGAAGCTTTCTGCCAGGTTTGGTCTCATTTCTTTTTGTATGTGTACCCTCCTATCTCCCATGCATTTTGGCTTCGATTCCTGACACTCCATGTCAGCTCCTGTTGGTAGCCCTTTTTGGCCAAATCAGTCATGACTTCCTCTTCATCAGAACACCTTTTCCTTTGCCCCACCTATTGTTACTCTTGCTATAACCTCATACATATGCAGGATTTGTCCAGTCCTTGCACATCAATCAGGTTTCTCTGACCATTTAGACCTTCCTTTATCCTGTTTGTGTTGCCCTGCTACTATTTCTGTCTATCAATGAAAGTGGCATGTTTTTTTGCCACTTGTCCATCTGTCACTCTCTCACTGAGCTGTCTTACTGTTACCTACATTTAAGCCTTCTTTACCTAGTTGTTTGACTTAGGAGTATTTATTTCTACCACAGCAGACTTTGAGCAGCCTTGTCAACTATGTTTTACCTTTTCACTATGATTAATGCTTTCCCTCCTCTGTTCTTGCCATTTTGTTCCAGTCCTTCCTCAACCATTGATTCCTTCATCTGATTTTTTTTGCCTAACTGGAACCTTAATGTGGCTCTACATGCTCTTACCCAAGTCCTGTTTGAACCATTGGCCAATTTTTCATTATACCATCTCTCTCTCTCAAAACCTGTTTCCTTCTTCTTGCTTGTGGTCAACTCAGATCTGATCTTTATGTATTGGATGGCTTTCCTACTTTGTTTTACAGATCTTGTTCCTTGGTTGCTCGTTTCTTTCCAAGACTTGGGTGGCTCCCATTTTTCTTCTCGTGATATCAGCCCTTTAGGATTCTGCAGAACCTGATCGCCTTTTTTGTCCAGTTCAAGTGGTTAGGTGTTCTTAACACACATAGGCTCATTTCATGGTTTCCACAATTGTTAATTTTTGCCATGGGACCCATCTTCTTCCACAGATCTTTCATTCTCTTTGGTTACCAGATAGATATGTATATTCCTTCCTGGATGGAGATACTTGTGGGCTGTACCATGTCTTCTCACATCAAGTCTACCACTTGTCTCACTCTCTGGCCTTGCACATTTGACAAACCTTGTACAACATCCACTAGGATGGAATGTAGGCAATGTCCAACATCTTCAACTTTCATTACCCATTGCACTTTCTCCAGTTAAAGACTTGTGGTGGTTAGGTATGATCAGGACCAAAAACTTCTTCAGTGTCTCCCAAATGTAGATTCCTCCCTCTCTGGTTGTCAAGTAGAGTATGGGATACCCTTGTCACTTACCAGTTTCTAGGTGCTGAGGTGGTCAATTTGGAGAGTTCCTCATTGGTTGTGGTGATCCCTCTATAGAGGATCAGAGAAGGCAGCACATTGGGATGAGAAATAGGGTAGGGGTATCCATGTCAGTGCAGTTCACTGCTATTATGTAATATGCCAATTTCCTTTTGGTTTGACCAACTGGATTGTTCACAGTGTTCTCCTAAGACAGGAAGGGACATTCATCTCTGTTCCTGTCATGTAAGGTGAGTATATGATACAACAGAACATGTACTAAACTGTACAGTCTGATCATTGCCCTAGCCAAACTACACCTCATATCCGACTGACTGGTTGTGTGCAAATGCTCGATTGGTCATGCACTTTTCTGCCCATCCCTGTGACATGTTGTCCTCTTTGCCTTCCTCCTTTTGTACTTCTGTCCAGGTGAAGAGTATACCCTGCATGAGATGATGTAGTCTCACATGAGTGTTACCCTTGTAGTAAACCCTCACTAAATGTTGTCGCACTCCATGGGCTTGCACTTTCTATCAACTTCTCTGTAGGGAGTTCATTGAGGCTTTTGCAATTGCTCCTGTCTCTTCAACACATCAGTCTGGGATTCTAGATATTGTGTGCAGAGAGGAAAGAGTATCATATTTTGGAAGTTAACATTTTTCCTTACCTGTAATTGTATTTCCAATAGATACTTACCTCTCTTCACACTTTTCTACCCTTCCTCCCTACTACTGGTGCATATTATTTTTGCATAGGGTACAAGCAAACTTGAAGTTAATTATAATTAATATGTATTAAGTTAATTACAGAATATGAGCTAATTATTCGAAGTAAATTAGAATATGATGCAACTAACTTTTAAGGATGATATGTTAAAATTAAAGGAAAGAGCATTTAAGCATTCATTTAACATTGAGGCATGCAATTCAAAGGAAAGGGCATTTAAGCATTCATTTAACATCGAGGCATGCAATTCATTTTTTACTCTTGTCATTTTAGAAAAAGCTCTCAGTAATGCAGTTCGTGGTGGGTAGGCACAAGTATATTGTTAATGTCACATCAACATAAGGAAAAACATATTTGAGTTTGTTTTTTTCTTATTGCTTTGATGCATTGTTGGGCGAATGGTGTTTTATTGTCAAAATATTTTTCAAACTGTACCATTTTATTGGGAAAAGAGCTATCTAGATCTGGAGAGTATATGCCTCCCAATCTTTTAGTTGCAGCAAAAATTTCACTCTCATTTAAATTTTTGAAATTAGATAGAAAAACCAAACTTCATTTCTGTCACTTTATTTGCAGTCAGCCGATTTTCTAAACAAATTTGTAACTTGTCAACTACCAGTATATAATTTTCTATGCCAAACTTCTGAGTTCCAGATAAACTAATTTTGATTTATTTTGTATTTTTTTATGGTGGTTATGAGGTCAGTCAAATTGATTTAATCTGTATTGATTAATAATAGAACAAATAACAGATAAACTATGAAGATTTACCAAAAAAAAGAGACAGTTAAACTGACAGTCTGGATCGTCAGTAGGGGCCCCCTCACTGCTTGGGGCCCTGGCACAACTGCACCATGGTTAATGCAGCCCTGAGTGCAAGTACTTATGGGGATCTAATGAACATGGAAGTTGTATCATCCTCCTAGCCCTAGCACAGATCAGTTGAAATACATGTCTTTGGTGGGAAACAGCTCAAGGCTACTGGCATATGCAAAATCTCAAAGGCAAACTTGTGATAATAGCTATGTGTGCAAATACGTGTATGTTGAAAATACATTTTCAAATAAAAAAAAAGTGTTAACTTTTTCAGACATGCTTTATGATAAGAGTGTTTGTAGAAGGTGTATATATAAGTTTTGTTTATGTATTAATGTACTTAATAGCTTGACTGTGGTTACTATAATATTTCTTTGAAATAAAGAAAAATAAAAAAGCTAAATCTTTTTCTGGCATGATGATTTTTTTCTTCCTCCAGGCAAGACAGTTTCCAGTGTCTAGATAGTTTGTTGTTGGGCTACCACTTTTCCACTGTGCCAGTGTCTCTCCTCCCCTTCTCCAGCTGTATGTGCTTTGTGTGCATGGTCTGTATTTTCTGTTGCTGTTGAAAATTTATTCAGCTACTTTCTGTAACCAGTGCAACTTTGAATGTTCTGTTGCTTTGTTTAGGCCGTGAAACATCCACTTCACACAGGAGTTCCTCATCAGATTATACAAGGAGACTGCCTTGTTTGACCACACGGCTATTGTAATGTTCATTAACTCCCAGGCTAGATTTAACAATATCAAGAGCTTCATGTGTTTTCTAGTCAAAGAAACCCCACCAAGTTAGACGACAACATTTACTTAGATATGTCTATGAATACGTTTGTTGCCGAACTAGTGCCACTCATACCAGTGATTGTTCTGGCTCGTTCTCAGCGTTCTATTTTCTAATTCAAGTTCAGTTGAATCAAAAGACTGCTGTGTTAGAAACTTTCATTACTTATAAATGACTTTGACCAACATATCTTCTAGATTCTCAGTTATGAATGTTGCTGGTGTTATGTTTGTTTTTGTAAATACAACCACTAAGTAAATCTCTAGCTTTAATGCTTTGAAGTAGAAAGTTTTACCAAGACCCAGGTTCCTGTTTTGTTTTTTAAAAATTAACTGAACATTTTGTAACAACTTTTGTGTGTGTGTGACATTATAATTTTATTCATTCATTCAGTGTCATAGCTTTAATTGTAATCTATGTACATGTAGCATTATTTAAGCAGCAAATCATTCACCCTCTGTACAAAATAATGTAATCATTGTATTAATAGAAAAGTAAATATTATGTTTTACACCAAATGTTTCCCCAAAGGTATATTGTGAACAATTTTCTAGTTAGTTTAATACTGTTTAGGTAATGATTAACTTAACCAAATATATTATACCAAAAAAAAAAAATATTTATGGTACAAAAAAATCTAATGACTGAAGAGCTTTCGGGAGGTAGGCCTAAAGAGATGAATTGTGGTATGTTTGTGCAAGGTAAAGAGTGTAAGCTGTCACGAACTGTGTAGGCCACCTTAAGTGTTTGAGTTTTAAACGTTAAGAATGCTTCCTGCTCATCAGGTTGCCAATAGCAATTACCTTTGTGGCGGTTTTCATTACGCATGGTTACACATTTTAATTGAACAGGTCAAATTTTTATTCTTGGAAATTAATCTTTAGATGTAAAGAAAAGAAAAAAAATCACCGTCCTTTTTGTTGCCCCCCAGTAGCACACCGATATGTCTATTGACTTACAACGCTAGACACCGGTTTCGATACCCGTAGTGGGAAGAGCACAGATGACCCATTGTGTAGCTTTGTGCTTAAATACAAACAACCAACTAACGTTTTTGATATTTCTGCCTAATCAACAAAAACAAACTAGATTATGACTCTATCAATCAGAAAAAAGGAAATCCAAAATGCTTTCAAATATAATCTTATTTTTATAGTATTTCATTTTCTATTATTGTTCATGATGTGAAGTGTTTTGAATATATCATAAAGTATAATTCCTCTTCAAATACAGAGATTATAAATATAACACTATGGAAGTTGTTAAAATGTGCCCTACTAGCAATGGTTAGTGAGTAAACCTTTCGGGCCAGTTGGTTCAATCCCGCTTACGCGATACTTAAAAACGAGATTACCACAGTACTAGAACTAATTTTCACTTCAGTGTAAGTTTAACATAACAGCAAATGTACAACGGTTTCGTTGTACATTTGCTGTTACGTTAAACTTATATTAAAGTTTTTCTTCATTACCTATTCAAGCCGTCTCCAGCCATTATTAGTCTCAAAGTGGGTTCCTCGTCATCGAAACATTTTACAGTTTTCACTTGAAGGTCTCAATCCCATGATTGTTCAGATTCATTTGTGTGATGAGATAGCAAGCTGTTTCACAACAGCTACTATTTACCCACCATTCAGAATAACTTAAGATAACAGTAGAAATGCAAAGTTAGTTTGTTGTTTTGACTCAGGGAGTTTCTATATTTTATTCCAAGGTAAAAATAAGTGGAACATGAGTATGTGACACATTGGAACAGACTTATCAGTGTGTTTGTGGTTTCTGTAAAATGC